TAAAATGTAGTATTGAGAATCTCTGCTCGCCCGAACCGGTGACGGTGACGATAACCGATTCGAGCTTGGATATTGATCACTTATTTGATTTAAGTGGCACTGCCTTTGGAAAAATGGCCATCCCTGGAAAAGAAGACCAACTTCGGAGCAAGGGAATTGTGGATATTCAATATAAGAAGTAAATTCATAAACTATCTATACAAATATTAGGGGTGTAAACGAGTCGAGCCAGATTTGAAGCCCTGGACGAGCCAACAATCGAGCTCCAACTCGACTTACTTCTAATCAATATTAACGAGCCAAATTTTTTAAAAAAAATTATATAAAAATTAGTTTTTCGAGCCGATTAAATTACGCTCGTGACTGAACGAGCTAGGGCCCGGCTCGTTTACAACCAATATAATACATTAATTTATCATATCATTATCATTATATGATTTTTTTATATATATTAATGGACTAGGGTGGACTGCAATTATAAGGGGGCAAATGTGGCATTCCGAGTCGACAAAACCTCAAACCAGTACTATTTCGCGATGGCTGTACAATACGTTAATGGTGATGGGCTCACGGGAGTCGAGCTCAGGCGGGCGAACACGAACGATACTTGGCTCCCGATGAAAATATCTTGGGGCGGTGTTTATCGGGTTAACTTACCCGCTGGCTATGGCCCGCCGTTTTCAGTCCGCCTGACCCAGTCCTCGAAAACCGTGGTGGCCAAAAACGTGATTCCGGCCAATTATGAGATCACAATCTACAAATCAAATGTCAATTTTTGATGGTTTCGATTATTATTATTGCTCGTTTAGTATGAATTTACTATTTCTTGTTATACTTTTTTTTAAAAAAAAAAATCATAATAATAACCATAGAGGTAATTTATTATTTGGGACACATTATTGTATCTCGAATATAAAGTACTGATGAGTGCCTTTAGCCAAGAAATAAAAAAAATTATGGTCAAACTATATAGAATGTACGTAGAGGAGACTTCTTTACTTAATGGTCCAGTCTCTCGGCTTTCTTCAATAATCATAAATAATGTTTATGTTATATTTTTTTGTGAGTGTTGTTATAATACTTTGTGGTTACATATTTGAATAAAATAGGCTGAATAAAGTACGTATCAATTAAATTAGAGAGGATGATGACATATATTTGTGCAATTTTAGAATTTGGTCTCGACTGTTTGTAGCTTGGTATCAAATCAGGGGATTGCATTTTATTTACACAACTAGTACAAATCCCGTGCAATGCACGAGTAAGAAATATATATTAATATTTATATTAAACGATGGGATATACGTTAATAACATAACACGTAAAGAACTAAAGTAAAACACAACCACACGTATGTTTATATATTTGAAAATAAAATTAAAAACATAACACGTAAAGAACTAAAGTAAAACACAACCACACGTATGTCTATATATTTAAAAATAAAATTAAAAACATAACCATTTGCTTTTGAAAATCTATATTGTCAACATCTTGCTTCGTAGCAAAATTACAGAAGTCAAAATTAAAACGTTGGAAAATCGGTAGGATACTCCAACACTTTGCAGTAATAAATTGTTATTTACCAATGTTACTTTCTAGCATCCTCGAACTTGTCACTCATTAACTTCACGAATTAGTCCAGTTATGTGGCCACCCTGTAAAATCGCAATACAAAAATAATATTTTCGTCAAAAAATATTAAAATAATAAATATTGACAACTACTATTAAATCACATAATGAAGCATACTAACATCACTATCGTGGAAAACTATTTCCAAATAACTTCTGTAAGAGACATCAAACATCATCTTAAAGAGATGTTGTTGGAAGTTTCAAGATGACCTTCGTATTTCATTTAAAAAAGTTGATTAGACCAAGGGTTCATCATATTTCACTTGTCCACAGATTTCTTTCCTCACATCTTCATTAATTCATTTTAGTATACATAAACCACAAATCGTGAAAAAGCCTAAGAAAACATATAGAAATCAGTCAAAGTAATCAAATAGGAGAACTGCAGAATAAGAATGTACCTGAAAGTCCCCACAGCAAATGAGAAGATCAATCTTGATTTTTTCAACTTCTTGCAGGTGTAATAGAGTAGCATATACATTATCCAAATCTCCATGCATGCACCCTTCTACAGCTCTTTTCATCTAAAATTATATATTTTCAATTAGAAGCAAAATAAACAGTGCCTTTAAACTAATGACAACAATTTAGTAGTGGCATTTACACAAGCTTTCAAACATGGGATATTCAAAATTTTATGCATATCAATAACTAAAATATGCTAAAACTCCAATTCATAACTCCATCAGCAAAACTTTACAGAGCATTAAAACTAAATAAGGATCGAATTCACATGGACGCAGTCAATGTCATGTCGGGCACGCCCCACACACAGTGCAAACTCACTTTTGAGTCAAGTTTATCATAAAGCCTAATATCAAGCCTCGCCCAAGTTAAGTTCTAGATAACCTATGCTCATGTTAATCACGACAATAGCCAGTTTAGCTCGAAAATATTTTATTAGAAAACCTTTTTTTTCTGTTCTCAACAAATTACAGCTTTATGAAAGTGATATTTTTGTGAAAGTGATTAGTGAATAAATAACACACACGGTGATCATCCTAGCAGGCCGAATACCATCTGAAACTAAACGAAACACCTCTCTTTTACTCCAAAGTCCAAATAATTACAGTTTTTAGCACATAAACCATATTAAAAAAAAAATAGTGAGAGATACGGACAAAAGACCTCAGCAGGTTAGGGCTTCGTGAAACGCACCGATTAGGAGTTAAACAAAATTTGTGACTCGTGAAATTCCTGACATGTAGAAAACAACATTTTAAATCACCAGGACCAAAGATTCCAAATCCTAATTTTGAAAAAAAAAGGGAGAAGCTGAATAAAAAAAGAAGCGCAGCAGAAACCTAGGCAACGGGTAATCCGAAGTAATCAAACAACCACCGATTTCCCGATGATGTTGGTGAACTCATTGAAGTTGATGACGCCGTCGCCGTTGGTGTCGGCTTCCCGCATCATCTCGCATCATCTCGTTGGTTTTGAGAATCTTTATAATCTCACAAAATTTGTTTTAATTTACTATTCATCAACAGACACTTGTAGTCGGACCAGTCAAATAAATTAATCATAATTAATAGGCTCAGTCCCCAGCCAGGCTTGACAGGTCAATGTTTTACAGGCTAAATTGATAACCATTTCAGCACCCAAACCATCAAACCAAAGAAATACTGACCTTGATAAAGTACTGATACACCCCATTTGGCATTTCTTGCACCCATTGTACCCTGAAAATCAACATGATTCTTTATTAAGGCTCACAAAGTCACAATAATTTACTAACCAAAAGGAATAACCTCAGAAACTGAATTTAATATTTATAAAGAACCCCCACAGCCGCTCTCCCCAACCACACATGTATTCATGTGCGCACACACACACTCACACACATGACACATGTATTCATGTGCACACACACACACACACACAACAAACACAAACAAGGTGAAGTACAGGCAAGCTCAACGGTATTATTTAAAAGTAGAGCATCTGACTTTTTCATGATAATAAGGTGAAGGTCAACGGTATTATTTTAAAGTAGAACATCCGACTTTTTCATGATAATACAAATACTCGCCAATCGCCATAGGTCTTTTACAACAAATAATTTCAGTAGCACAGTCCCAAGTTGGTCATGAATAATACGCACAAGTTTAAGATATATTACCCATCCAGTGGATTAACTATACCAGGAATAGAATCTCCAAATGATAATTTGTTAATTTTGTGGCTTATCTGCATGACATTGACATTAGATTAAACCAGTACAGTAATCAGTATTCAAAATTAAATTAAAAAAACTGTATAGAGAAGCAATGACCACAAAAAAAAAAGAGGATTTAACACATAATTTATAGAAGGAAATTGAACAATTACTCACATTGTAACTTTCCGTCTGTATATTTAGCAAATCGAGCAGCTGGAAATTTTGGTGATGAATGCTCTTACCAAGGGACAAAGTGGAAATTGCCAACAACTCTATTAACCTCCAGAGATCCATATATATTGCATCTACTTCCTCCTTAACTTTTTGCACAAAACCTTCTCTTTTGCACTTAATACCAGAAACCACGACCAAGAAGAGATGATTGTTCAATTGCAGAGGTAAAAAGTTTAGTCAGATTGCACATCAATCAGTTTCGTGCTTTTATTTGTTCTAGACATAATCACAACCATTCAAGACAAGAAAATTAGCAAATCCCCATTTCCACCAATTTTAACAGACATCTAATATATTTTTAGGGGATGAAATGGTTGTCATACAATAAAACTATAACTTGTCACATAGAGAGAATTTTATCTTAGCCGTGGCATCTTCCTTTGATATCTATAAGTGACTTTCCCAAATACTATGGTGTGCAGTTATACAGTTCCTACCTTAATTAGTAAATCTCATGCAAATAGAACATATCATAAAGAAAACGTTAAGTATGTCATCCCTTTCAGAAGAATATTGGTCATAAAGGAATAGAAAAAATTGCTTAATAAATAATGGTAAGGCACTAAGACAACAAAAGATGTTCCTATCAACCTGATCAATCAAATTGGTGTTTGTCAGTCCCCAACCTTTCTTACGATATGCTTATTTCGTTGATGAGAACTTGCTCGTCCATGTCGGGGAGGATGGCGGCGGGGAGCTCGTCGAACTCGACAGCGTCTTTGTCGTTGGCATCCATGTTGGCGAGGAGGCGTGGATCTGTCGGGGAGGATGGCGGCGGCGAGCTCGAGCTGGGTGAGGCTACCGTCGTGGTCCATGTCGAACAGCTTGAAGTTGTAGTGCTGCCAGATCTTTCTGATTGAAGCTTTGCCATCGCGATTTTGGCCGGGAATCAGCGTAGAAAAATCTATCTGCACTATCGGCGAAACATAGAAAGTCCATTTCTAGTAAAAAAAACTCGCAAAAAATTCTTCGGGTAAATGGAGTGAACCCGCCTTCACTTTCAGCCGTCTCCTGCTCAATGCATCGAACGATTCCAATGCAAATTCCTTCTAATCTCTCATTCCTGTAACAGAAAATTACAGTTGTAACTAAAAGCAAGCACTCATTTGAGCTCAACAAACCGCAATTAACAACACAATTAGCCATCAATTAACAACCTATGCATTGTGTTGGGTGGTCGTCTGGCTCGACTCGCCGGGCCCGGGCTGGCCCCGAACACTCCCGAACAGCCGCTGGTTTGTCCCGGCAGCTCCCAGCAGGCCCGGACAGCTTCGTGTTGGCCCCGAACAGCAACCTTTCGAGCCCGAACAAGTCCCGGTTTGACCGCTTCTAGCCGAAAACGAAAATTACCAATAAATATACTAATTTCAACAATCAAACAATATAAATGAATTGAAATTGCTGAAAATGAATAAAGCATAGAGAGGACCAAATACACCCTTTTCTCGTTCTCGTACGTGAAGCCCAAATGCTACAAAGATGCCGAGATGATGGGTTGAAATGGAGCACAGGCTCAGTTCCCTTTCGTCAAACCCTCAAAATGAGTCACAGAAGAGCCGACAATTGAACCGATCAATTGGACCCGTGACCTCAATGACTCCGGCACTGTCCACTGACCGTCCACCAAGCTTGGCCCGAGAAACAGCCCGCACACAAAAAACCCCCAAAATCTGTCTCGCTAAAGGACCTGGCTCACACACGAAAGAGACTCTCACCAAAATCACAACCCCCTTATCACAGGATAGAAAATGGTATGTTTAATTTGACACAAAAGTCATGAGAAAAAGAGAAGAAGGAGAGTGACGGGAAAGAAGAAAATCGGGCTGACCCATTCTGATGTTGGGAGGTAATTTGGGGATGGCTGACCCATTCTGATGTTGGGAGGTGATTTGGGATTGGAGAAAGAGAAGAAGGAGAGCGACGGGAAAGAAGAAAATCGGGCAGAAGAAGAAAAGAGGGGAAAAGGGAGAGAGAAAAAAAAAAATGATTTGGGGATAAAATTAGAGAGATTATCTTCCCTTTTTTTTCTCCTTTCCTGCGGATCTTTCTTTCAAATTTTGAATTAAAAAAATCATATTGTAGAAATAGATAAGTTCAAACAGGTTGAAATCAATAAATAAAATCTCCAAAAAATTCAAATTGATAACTGGCGGGCATATTCAATTTTTTCGCCAAAAATTCTGCTCATTATAGTAAACTTTAGGCGGGAATTGAAATCTTTTTTTGCTGATTTTCTATATGATTTTTTCAAACAACTATCATTCCCTCTTTATATATTAATAGATTGATCAACGTAAAGAACTTATGATCAGTTTATTCGACCGAAAAAAGGGTAATTATGAAAAATTCAAAAGAGTAACGTTTAGGAAGAGAGGATTAAAAAAAATGCAATACAATATATATTTTTTTTATTCACCAAACTGTAATCTGACAAACTTCTATTGAAATAAATGAATGTTTAAGTATTATATTTGATAAAACTAGATGATAAGTTAGTTTATAGTTAATAAGTGAATTTCAAGATTATAGGTAATAGCTTATGTCTTATGACTGAAAAATTAGCTGATATAAATAAAAGTATTTAGTAAAATTAGTTGATAAGTCAAATAAAATAAAAATTTCAACGAGCTTATTTAAAAAAACTTCCAAAAGAAGCTTATAATATAAGCTCGAGCATTTTTGAAAAAGTTCACCCTTCCAAACTAAACTTATTGGTATACAAAAAACTTATAAACTAACCATACTTAGTATAAACCACTAGTCAAATATATATATATATATATATATATATATATATATAATATTGATATAATTGCTAGCAAGTTTCAATAAATTTTATTCAACCAGCAATTAATTATAATAGTAGTGCATTTAATAAAAATAAGTGTTCATTTAATAAAAATATGGTCACCATTTAATACTATTATCTAACTTATAATTCTAACACTATATGATAACTTATACTCCTTCTGTTTCTTAATACATGTCGTTGTAGGATGTCAACATTTTTGCAAATTAATTGTCGTTGGAAATATTTTATTCATTCTTTCAACTTTATCCTGTTTAACAAACTTTATTTCTTATCATTATCTTTAAAAACCAACCATTAATAATTCAAACACTAAATTTATGAGGATTAATATATAAAATTATTACACATCCCATGAAAATCGTAATTTAAAAGTTTTAAATTGAAACGACATCTAAAAAGAAATGGAGTAATATTCCATTTATATTTGTGCAAATAGACATTATATTGGATCCGTTATTCTAGCTAAAGCAAATATTTTTGTCCCACAAATTGCGTCGTTATTTCTAAATTTGGTCCGGGATTAGATGTTTCGGAAGTATTTTTTCTTCGCAAAATTCCTTTTAAGTGTCAACATACTCAAACTCCCTTTTGACTAGAAGAAAATTGATTTTTCGAGAAAGAAACACCGCATGAAGAAGTGAGGATTGGAAACTTATGTCCTTAAAATTTAAAAGTCATACAAAATTAAATTACAATTAGGGATGTATTCAATTGGACACTTAAAAAGTCTTTAAGAGTTTAGAAATCTTAATGTATTCAATGTAGACTAGTATTTGACTCAGTGCATTTACATAAATGTAAATAAAAATTATAAATTATTATAAATTATTTGTATGCATATAATATTAATATTATAAGTTAGATAATGTCATTATATTTTAAACATAGAGTATTATAACTTATATTAATGTATGTAATATTAAAATTATAAGTTAGATAATAATATTATGTTTTAAAATTTGATTATTAGTTAAAATAAATAATACATAACGATTTGATTGCATATGAACCACTATATTGAATGCATAAATTATAATAAATAATGTAGTTTTGTAATTTTGAGGGATCATGACTAATTAATTAGATAAAAAATATTAAGTTTATTATCAAAATTGTTTATGCAATTTTACAGAATTTCACTATAACATTACAATAAATTAATTTATTTAAAAAACAATCGCTTAATCAGATAAAAAAATATATTATTGATTTTAGAATAAATAACTTGAACAAAAAGCTTTTACAATATATTTTTTTATGTTTATGTAACTTTCATGTATCATTTAGTGTAAAATATAATTGTTAATTTTAATAATAACTATATACGATATAATAAAAAAAATATAAATATTACATAATTAATATAAAATATAACCATTTTTATCTTAATTAATCCAAAAAAAAGTGAAGGAAAATTTTTATCATTAATTGGATAGGGCGGATTAATAATAATAATAATAATAGTAATAATAATAATAATGGCTGAGCATAGGACTCGGAGAATTTTGAACCGTTTCGAAAATCGACCGAATCACTCCGAACCGAAAAATAACCGCTGACCATTAGATTTTCTCCGAACCGAGTTGAACCGAAAAAATAATTAGTACGGTTCTGGAGATTTCAAAAATACCCGTATCGCGAACCGAACAAAATCGTCTCATACCGTACCGAACCGAACCAAAGAATGGAAATTAAGAACTGAATTATAACATTAGATGACTATTGTTTTAATATATTTTATGTCAACTTTAATCCTATATAATTTGAAAGTTTATAAAATGCAAATAAAATATAGTAATAACAATTAAGCTTCACTTAAATTTTATGCTTAGTAATACTTGATTTGGTTTGTTTTTTTCTTCTCTAATAACTGCAGCTGCGAGTCCTCTCTACAAAAATGGCGATGGCTGCGGTTTATGTTACCAGGTAATCAAAATAATTATTTTATCAAGTAAAATCGCAATCGTTTTCTTTCTTTCTTTCTTTTATGAATAGTACTTTTTGTTAATTACCATGGTTTTTGTTTCCAATAAATAGGTAAAATGCACTTCGGAACATTGTTCGGGTAAACCGGTGACTGTGGTAGTAACGGAGAGTGCCCCGGCTGCGGTGGTAATCACTTGTTCGATTTAAGCGGCACTTCATTTCGACAAATGGCTAATCCCGGACAAGAACAACCACTTCAAGACAGAGGAATCATCAATGTTCAATATCAATCGTAAGAATTCATTCACATATATATATTTACAAACATCACACCTATCCTTGACATTACTAGAATGCATGACATTGTTATTATACATTATTCCTTAAGGTTTAATTACAAAATATAGTATTAAAGTCACTATTTTTACAAATTTGCAATAGTAGCCAACAAGGTTTACAATTTCGGGGGTTATTATTGTCCAAGTCCGACCAAATTCAACAACTATTATTGGCCCCGCGTAAAAGATACTGACTATATTATAATTTAACCATCAAATTTGGCCAAATTTGAGTAATAACCCTAAAATTTTAAAGCTTGTTAGGTATACAAGATACTGACTATATTTTAATTGATATATATCACTACAATGAATGACCTTGTTATTATATATTATTACTCAATATATATCTGAATTGAGATTTTTTTGATAATTTACTAGGGTTCCGTGCAATTTTCTGGGCACAAATGTGGCGTTCCGAGTTGACCCGGGCTCCAACGAGAACTATCTCGCGGTGGCCATCGAATACGAAGATGGAGACGGGCTGACAGGTGTCGCCGTGAGGAAGTCCAACACGAATGGTGATTGGCTCCCGATGACTTTGTCTTGGGGTGCCGTGTGGAAGGCTAACCTCAATGGGATTTCGCCACCGTTTTCCTTCAAGTTGACCGACTCCTCGAAAACTGTGGTGGCCGAAAACGTTATTCCGGCCGATTATAGCTTCACGACCTACACATCCAACGTCAATTTTTGACGGTTCAACTGTTGGCTCGTTTAGTATAAATAAATTAATTACTATGTATTGTGGTAACCGACCCTAGAGGTATTTTGTTATTTGGGGGACACACTTTTTTTGTATCTCGAGTGTGAAACTGATGAGTGGTGTAGCAAAAGAGCTAGAATGTATGTAGAGGAGACCTTTTAATGGTCAAGCCTCTCGGCTTTCTTCACTAATAATAAATAAAGTTGATGTTTTTTGTTACGCTATATTTTGAAAATTATGATTATGGTTCTGTATCCATATAATCCCATTGCATATTTGAATTGGATTTTTAAATTATCTAGATGTCAACAACAGTATTTGGATTAGAAAAGACAGTCAATTAGTACCAAAAATTCAATCTCTGGAACCGTGTAAAAAATTGAGATGGTTTGGTTCGAAAATTATTATTTTGCAGTTCGGTTCGATTCGGTATTCGGAACTATAAGAATTGTTCGGTTCGGTTTGGAGCTCCGGAGATTTTTAAAATTTCTTGAATGACTATCTAGTTATATTTAAATTTTTATATGCTTTTAGAAAAAAAAAATCTAATATTCATCAATGTTTCACCATATTAAAGATTTTATTTTGAAATCAACTTCATAAGTAACTCAAAATTTTAGTTAAAGAATAAATTAGTGGAATTGATAACAAAAATTGAAAATTCAAAAAAAATTTAACATATATATATATATATTATCTTTCATATCATTTTAATTATAAGAAAAAATAAGACTGAGAAAAGTATCAAACAATATATATAAATAATCTTTTAAAATAAATAAAAAAATTAATTGTAAATTAAGTATTACTAAGCATAAAATTTAAATAAAATTATTACCATATGTTATTTAGCTTTTTAAAAATACTCAACTTATATAGTTCAAGTTGACATAAATATGTGAACAACATACATTTAGTGCTATAATTCGGTTCATAATTTCAGTTTGGTATGGTATGAGAAAGTTCAGTTCGGATTGGAGAAAGTCAAACGACCAACGTTTATTTTTTGGTTCGATTTTCAGAAAAGTTTGGAATAAATATTTGGTAAATAGTAGAAAATTATAGATATTACATTGCATGTATTGCCTTTTTTTGAATCATATCACTACAAAAAAAAAAATTTATATTCCAACGGAAAATCCTATGGTAATATATTCCAATAGAAATTCCAACGGATATTCCAGTGGTATAGCTTCCGTTGGAATCATTCCAAGGGAAATTCCAACGAAAATATTCCGGTGGAATGTATTTTTCATTGAAATTTTAGATGGGATTTGATGATTCCGACGGCTATATTTCCAACGGATTTTGACTGTAGGAATTTCCGTTGGAATTTTTATTTCCACCACCGTTGGAAAATCTACTGTTGGAATCGTCAAAATCCACCGGAAATTCTAATGGAAAATTCATTCCAACGGAATATTTTTGTTGGAATTTCCGTTGGAATTATTTCAACGAAAATGATAGCATTGAAATATCCATTGAAATTGCCGTGGAATTCTATTAGAATATAATTTCGTTGGAATTTCATCATTTTATTGTAGTGTATTTCTCCAAAAGTTGCTCGTTTGAGCTTTTTCAACATTAGTCTTTTGGGTCTAACAACTAATCAAATAAACTCGCTATCATATAAATTAATTAGCACGTTTGATTGATCAATATATAACCTCTAATAGAGATCTAATACTCTAATTTAGCACCAATATAATAACTTCTAATACTCTAATTTAGCACCAATCTGCTAATAAACTAATGGATCCATAATTCTGAGTTCATGGTTTGTGGATTGCTTTTTATGTTTACTTTATTAACTTAGATGCTAATATTAATAACTAAACTAAATAATTCATTCAGAGGAAATATTAGTTTCCATTTACCCAAAATTGGCAAAATATATAGCTTCTATTTGACATGTATTGGATAAAAGACAACTTGCACAATTAATGAATAGCGGAGAACTGATTGCATTAACAAATTTGATTAGCTGTATGTGTCAACAAGGAGGGTGGGTCCAGTCTTCTGGTGTCAGTGTGTCACTTTGACATTTCGGGTGTACTCTTTTTAGTTTTTAAGGGGGTAATTAGATATGGTTTGAACAGTAAAAAAACTAATCAAAATTCAAATTTAACTCAACATTAATCCAACCCTACTATTTTCATTATTATCTATATAATTAAATAATATCAAACAATCATTCTTACACATCACATCAACTTTAATTCACTATTCATCCACTCACATAATTTAAATTCCAATCATTTTTCTCTTACTTTATATTAAATCAATTTTAATTATTTTATTTAAATATTATTTAATATATCCACTAACAACTAACTATAACACTTTTTTTTTAAAATTAACTATAGTTAAAAAACAAACCAAATCAAAACTAGTTGAATACATAAACAATCACGTGGTAAGTTATTAATATAATTGTTGTTTGAAAAAAAAATAAACTCATTTTAACTGTTTGATATATATATTAAGAAAAAAAAAATGCGGTTATCTATCATAAAAAGCTCTGATATTGTGTTTTTTCTAATCAGATTTTGAATTCAATTTTTTCAAACTGTTAATTACTAAAAAAATTAAATTAGAGATCTTAACATGTCATACCTCTAATTTATCCTCACAACACTACATATCATTAACACCATAAGAAAATACCAACCTTTTCTTCTATGAATTGAATTCAGTTTGCGGAACATCATGCACCAGTATTATTATAGTTTTAGCGAAAATTAGTTCATTTTTTTTTTTTTTTTTTTTTTTTT